AGACACTACACCACCCTTACAAGTGAATACAATCAAGAATCTCTTATTCCCAATTAATAACCTAGAAGATTTAACTTTGGCTTGGTTTTAGTAACTAATACTTTTGTTTTGTTTTGATATATGATTTTATAGTATGTATTTTTTTTCTTTGATTTAGTAGGCTAGTTTTCTAAACACATCTGGTATTTTTTTGTCCAACTGGTTTTCTACTAACCTTTATAACCCCTGGTCTTAGTAAATAGAGCTTTTATCACTAGTTTTTTATGCCAGCTAGCTAGAGTTGATATATTTTACAATAGCCTTGCAGATTTCTAACTTTTCTAAATTGGTAGTCAGGTTGATAAATTCTTTCACTAAAGAATCTTGTTGTTATTTGATTTTTTAATTTTAGTTCCAACTTCTAAATTTAGGTTTTTTCTATAGTACTATTGAAGATTGTAGTTATTTCTTACTTGGGTCTTTCCAAATAAGTTTTGATCATCTCAGTTTCTTGGTATTTATACACCAAAGCTCCTATACTAGATAGTGCAACCAAGATTACAGATTCTAGATCCAACTAATTGATGAATAATTGTTACTATAATACAGATTTATTTTTCAAAAACAGTATCTGTAAGATTTGAACTTTGAATCTGCCACTTGATGAAGTAACAATTAGATCACTTTACCAAGCTACTACACCTATGTAAAAAATATTCTATTATTATATTATTATTTATTATATTTTTTTTGAAAATTTAACAATCTTGCCTCAACTTTATTAGAATTGTTACAGTAGGGAGGCCTTCTTGAACTCACTACTATAATGATAACACGGCTACAGGGATCCTTTACAGGTTTATAGTGGTGTTCAAGAGGGAAGTGTAATTCCTTGTTCTATTAAGAAACTACACCCTTCTCTAAGTCAGTTCGTGACAGAGGCAAGAGTTTATAGATAAAATATAACTTTATTTATTGAGATGAGATAAGGCTATCTGATAGGTTTCTGTACCTAAAGAAATCTTTTATAAAGATAACTAATCTAAGGGGGAAGGGGAATATAACTTGTCTAATTTATAAAAGGAATAGGGGATTTCAAACTTGTTCAAACTTTTTTGACTTGGGGGAATTGGTGGGGTTTTTATATCCATTAGGTAAAGTGTCAACACTTAGTGCTAAGTGTCGCTGAGAAGCATCAAGTATTAAACGTCGAACGTCGAGTATCGAGCATTAATTATTAAGCATTAAGCATCAAGCATCAAGCATCAAGTATCAAGTGTCAAGCGTTAAGCGTCAAGCGTCAAGCATTAAGCGTCAAGCGTCAAGTATGCTTTTTACAAGTTTTTTCTTTTTTTGGTTAACAATACTAAATACTAAATAAAGCTAATAATAATATAGGATAATAACAATATGACAAAATAATAATTATACTAATATTTATACATTCAAGAAGCTAATACTAAAAATCTATTCTATAACAATATAATATATATAATAAATAAAAAAATATAAAATTTTATATTAAATTGTGAAATTATATAAAAACCTGTAAAAATTTTTGAATTTTGCAAAAAGCATAATTATATAAATATGTATATATAGTTTAAAATTGTAAAATATTCTATATAGATTATAATTTTTTCAAAATATTTTAGAAGGTATATAAAAGTATTATAGGATTATAATATATAAAAATAACTATTTAAACAAATTTAAACAAATTTATAAATAGTTAAATTAAATATACTGTTAAATCTCCCCAAACTGATATGCATAGTAGACCGATTTTGTATCAGTCTTGAGAGGTTATCAGATTTGAAAAACATTATAAACTATTAGATTTATATAACAGAAATTGACTTTGTAGACCAATTTTTTATCAGATTTGACAGGTTATCAGTTTTGAAAGGATCGATTTAGAGAGGTTCAACAGTAGTAATTTTACCTTTCAAACCTGATAACCTGTCAAAACTGATACAAATTTGGTCCATTATGCATATCGGTTTTGACAGGTTATACTGTAGTTAGGTTAGAGTTATGATTAGTGTTTTTTTATATTAAATAATTTTATAATATCTTTATATTTCCAACTATACTAAATAAGATTCTTAACTGATTGTTAATAGCTATTAACTATATCTATAAGGCTATTTTTTGAATATATAATTCTTGAAATTCAAACTCTAGACCTACTATTTAGAAATACAACAACTCTATTACTTTACTAAATCATTATATCTACAATTATATTTAATCATTGTAGTAGTATAATAATTATATTTAATTTAAAGTTTTTGTTTATTTTTAATTTAGTAATTTACAAGTTAACTAGAAAGTGATTATAGTAAAACATGATATGAATTACTTATAGAAATTAGAGTTTTGCAAATATAATATAAATATAGAGAACTTTCAAGTAGTAAATAATAACCTAATCTAATCTCAACTAATTTATCAAAAAACAAAACCAAAACTTCAAAAATAAAAGATAACAATCAAGGCATAGTAAGACTTGGTTTGAGTAATTTAAAGTATAGGTCTTGTATAGACAACATTAAAGTTCAAAAATATTTACTTTACTTCTATAATAGATTTATTTAACTAATATTATATATTTCTAATACTAATAGTTTTGTTTTATTTTTCTCTTTTGGGTTTTGCTTATTTCAAAATAGCATGTTACAAGATCATGATAATTTAATTGATAAATATAATTATTAAACAATAGTAACTATAATAATATTTAATTAAAGTTTAATTTATTTTATTATAAAAAGAAAGCTAATTACTAATTGATTATTTTTTTCTTTTTACTTTTATAATACAAAAATAGCAACTTTTATAAAAATTACAAGAACAAGTAAATACAAAGAGTAGTTTTATTATAGAATTTTTAGAAACAAAGAAAAACTTTCTTTACAGAAACTTAAATATCTTAATATACAGTAACTGCATAATAACGATGCAGTAATTACACAATTACTATTAAACTTAATCGTAACTAAATAGTTACCATGCAGTTACTGCGCATTAAGAGATTTGAGTTTCTGTATAGTAGTTATAATTTTGAAGTTTTGCGCAGAATTTCATTTGATTTATTATTTAATTTATTTGTAAAGTTGCGCAGAACTGCACTAAGAAAATTTTCCGATGTATTTTTATCATGGAAAAATTTTTATGTTATTAGAATCTAATAGTCAAAAATTGAAGCTACATTTATAACAATATTTATTTTGACCTATACAAATCTTTAGACACAACTTTCTTAAGACTATTATCTTTAAAGTACCAAACACAATTATTGAAAGAGATTTATTCATACTGTATATACATAATCCTGAGTTATGTTATGCCCCAAATAAGCATGCTTAATAAATATACTAGTATTTACCTTTTTTCTTTCTCTTTGTCCGATAGCTTAAACTTTCTTTAAGAGATTTTGGTAATATCTTCTATTTTATATAAAAAAACGGTTAAACTTCATTGGTATATGTTACCCCCTTAAAATCAAGATTCATTGTTTCAATAACCGTTAATCTAAATTTAGAATGTAAAAAACTGCGCATGATAGTGCTAAATCATATGTTAATATAACTATAAAAAATCTCAATTTCGGTTAAAAATTTTCTAAGTATGGTCCAGCCAATTTAAGAAATCGGATTTCTTTTTTTTTTTTTTGATCTGCATCGCAATAATTGTTTAGTTGATCAAGTTGACATCGATTGACAATATTGATTAATTAATCAATTGGTTGTTTTTTTTATATAAAGAAATGTAAAATACACTTTGAGGCACATTTTATTTATCGCTGTTTTCGAAATTGTTGAAAATGGCACATAATATTTTTTTTTGGCGTATACTCCTTTAGCACGTTGATTGAAGATTTTATGTAATTGTTCTGAATAACATAAAATCGGACATCGATCTAATTAACGTGCTAAGGTAATCGAGTGTGATTGTACGCCAAAAATAGCGATAAAGACTTTGCAAATAGCGAAGTATGTTTATTTTTTTTTGAAAATGTGATTAAATCTAATATTGTCTATAATCGATTTTAGTTGATTTTTTTAAAAAAATCTTTGGCCAACTAATCGATCGCATTTTTGGTACACTACTGTACATTACTGTCCCCTAATTATTAAAATTTGTGCATGCTTTTTTAACATTTTTTTCGCAAACATTTTTATAAAGTCAATTTACTTGGTGATCTGTACATGATAGAAGTACGTACGTACGTACGTACAGATATTTTTAAGACAGAATCGTAAGTTTGCGTCTGTAGCCCTCGAAATGCTGGTCACATGATGAATTTAACAGTATATATATATATATATCACAGCATATATCAATTATGTAATGTAATAAAAATATCGATATAGATCATTATTTAATTATAGTATTTAGTACTGTCTGTGAAACACCAGCGTTTTGGGATCCGCCCTCACAGTGTCCGACATTTGCAAAATAATGTGAATTCTTTTAAATGCTTAGGGTCAGATGAGTACCAAAGTAGCTTTTTTCATGTTAATTTCTTTGTTAAAGACGTAATGATCATGATTTTAGTACGTATATCTGTACTAATTTATGTCACTGTTCCGTACTACTTTACTGTATTGGCATACTCAACCCAAAATACCTAAGTGCGTACTGTACGTACGTATCAAAACATAACAGATAACAGATAACTGATAGCACAATTTTATAAAAATCAAAATAATAGACAGTATATAGACAATATATATATTTTTTGGTTTGTGATTACAAATGTGGTGATGACGCTCTAGAACAATTCTGCAATTTGTAAAAAAAACATTTGCTGGTTCATGTCAACTGGTATTTTTATCAATAGCCAATCAGAGACTGAATTTTTTTTTGTTTACGTAAAAGTTATATCACTAGCTAAATTCGCATAGTTGCATACTGGACCAATAGAAATTCACTAAGCATAAAAAGTTTAAAACTTTTAACGGTCGAGTGGAGGCGAATTTATAAAAGTTTTTTTCTTTGAAGTAAATTATACCATGGCTATACATCGTAACATTACATCAAAGGGTGGTTATCACCTTAAACATAAGCTAAGAGGCTTGAAAAAAAGAAAAAAGCAAGGGTTAACGAGTAACGACGAGGATAACGATATACAGCAAACAAAAAAAGAATGGGAAATTCCAAGAAAGCTTTTACACACTTCTATAGGTAGGCATCAGCTTGTTTATTATGAGTTTTAACTGCTGCAACGAAGTTAGTTGAGGAGGTACCTTTTATGATTTGTTAAACTTAGAACTGCAAAGTAAGACAATTGTGTTTGGGTGACTGTAATAAGGTGTATTCTTAGAATTCCCAAATCATAGAGATAGTTTATGCAGTTCTAATTTAAATGCTTTTTTTAGTAACTGACATTGATTGATATATTTCTTTTTTTTATATGTGGGCTATTAATACAACCCGACAATTATTTGATAAAACTAAATCTTTACCTTTCATTTGATTTATCAGGATTTCTTGTCTTATATATCTATCCATCCGCGGAACCTATCCCAACCCGTAACATACTACTCATTGCATTTGTAATAGTGTCAATTGCAGATGCATTACGATTCAATAGTGTCTCATTTAATAACCTTTACATCAAAGTACTGGGATTTTTGATGCGAGAATCAGAAAAGTATGGTAAAATAAACGGTGTAGTATTTTACCTTGCTGGGTGTATTGGCGCGCTGTCAATATTTCCGAAGGTATTTATACTTCTAAGCACTTATGAAAAATCATGGGAAAACATGTTTCATTTGGTTATTACATAATCATTTTCGTAAGGGTGATTTTATGGATAATTTATTTGTGAAATGCGAGTCACGTGTATTTCATCATGTTACGAAACACTAACTAAATAATTATATATACATCGTATGTATGTATATATTTTTGGGGAATTATTAGGACATCGCAGCAATATCAATACTCATACTATCGTGGTGTGACACTGCCGCATCGTTTATCGGTAGAAAATATGGACACTATACCTATAGATTCAGTAATGGTAAATCGTTGGCAGGCACAATTGGAGCCATTGCAGTTGGATCAATAGCCGCATTATTATTTTGGGGTGGAGGGTTACAATTTCATAAAATTGAGGTTGAAAATTGGATACCGGATAAAAGTGCATTATCATTACCTGCATTATGTTTGATAACAGGCATAGTTAGTGGCATTAGTGAATTAATAAATGTGGGAGGGTTAGATGACAATCTTGTAATGCCTTTGGCAGCAGGATCTTTATTATGGGTGATACTGATTGGTCTAGGATTAGGCGGGTCTACATAATTTTGAAAATTGATATAAAAAAAATTACTGTGATATAATTATTGACCTATAGTATATATATATATATATATATAAAAAGCAAATGCAAATATAGTGATACATTTCATTTTTTAGATTATACGTTTATTTTTTTAGCAATATATATTGACATTTAACCTACAAAATGTTATTAATAAAATGGGGGTGGTCAATAGAACCAAGCAAATTTATCTAATAAATTTGTTTGGTTTCTATTGACCACCCCCAAATCTTTAGTTTGACCATGATTTGAGACATATTAGTCTCAAGTAATTTGGGATTTGGACGGCAACTATGTGATGAAACTTCTGTTATAAGTAGGTTGATCTCTTTCAAAACGAAATTAACCACATATTTTAATACGAGGAGGGCTCGATCTAAGACGACTCATCAAGTGTAAAAGAAGTTATAACAGGATTTAAATGTTTAATGCTTTGAAACGAGATAGGATTTTTTAGTAAAATTATAATGTCTATGGCTTTGCTTATTTCATCGAGAACGAGTTTAAACTTGTCACATAATATTCCATATTAATAGTCGCCGTAAACAAATATCCTGTATGTACTCAAAAGCATCTATACAAAGGTAAAGATAACGATTGTAAAAAATAAAAAAAATGCTAATTAATCCAGTCACATCAGGTAGAAAACAATCGCTAACAAGGTTAAATAACCTTCTTTATATAAATACATTTTATAGTAATATCCTTTCTTTATGTTAAGTTTTAAGCACGGATAATAAAATAGTACATTAAACAATTGTGACGTAGTTTCTCATACGTTAATTCTAATATATTAGATATATTATCGTACATGTTTAATTAATAACGCTATTCGCACACGTACGTACACACATAGTTAAACATGAACGAAAATCTTCGATACATGTTTTTTTTTTTCTGGTCTAATTTGTTCAAAAAGCAAGGGGCATATTAAAATAGACCGCTAAAGTACATCAGTGATAAATACAAGCATAGATTCGAAAGCTTAAATTGAGTACACAAAATAAAAGAAAAATGTGCAATTTAGAAAAGTTACGAAGCTAAAAAAAAAAAACTACTCTATTGTTGACCCTCCTCTTTCTCATGTTTCTCCATCAACATCCGCTTTTCTTCATCAGCAATGAAAATAACTTGTTCAACTTTAGCATCTTCATCATCTTCATGTTGTTCTGAAATAGCTTGATAAGGTTGTCTCAAACCAAGATTCTTCTTAACGATACTTTGCATAGATGCAGGAATAACCATAAACAAGATACCGAATATTGATGTAAGGAACAAGGAGATGATGGCCACTCGAGTGATCTTGGATGAACAGCACCACCAATGACGGATTCGTGCGAATATGGAATTTAAGTTACAAGGAGTAGATGATCCAGTCATTGCGCTATTTACATCAGAAGCATTATCTGCTGCAGGAGTTGCAGTATTGGCAATCTTAGCTTCAATGATCCTTTCAACTACATCATTTTGAACGACAGTTACACCATCGATTTCGATTATACGGACGGCAATTACGATTTGACGAAGAGAGAATCTAGGATCATCAGTAGGATAAGATTTGGCAATTGTATTAACTTCGACAGTTACCATTCCAATGTCGAAGCTGTTTTCATATTCCTGAAGTTGTTCTTGTGTTATATTTGCTGGAACAATCTCAGCTTGAAGTACCTAAAAATATATTAACAAAGGTTAAAAATGATAACATGAAATGAACAAAGTTATCACACCTCCACAAATAATGCCGCAGCTTACCTGAACAGAAGTGACATTCAACGGAACTGCGATATCGTTCATCTTTAAACCTTCGTCATTTAGGTCAAATTTAATGACAACTGCGGAGATTCTTTCCGCGAGCAGTTCACCTCCATCGTCTACGAGATCATCAATACGTTGAACAGCTACTATAAAGCGCTCACTGGTAGGAGAAGTTTGTTTTTCCGCTATGCTGACTGAAGTGGATGATTCATCTTTTATCGGTCCGGCTTGTGATAAAACTGAGAACAACCAATCGTGAATTCATTTAATAAATGAAAAGTATCGAACATATAAAAAAGATTATAAATAATACATTTTAATTCTATTTTAATAACTTACCTAACAAGAGAGCGACAAAAAAAACGTGGACCAAAAAGGCAAACTTAGCCATCATAAAATAATCTTAAAGCCCTTGTTAAAGGTCGTTTATAAAGACAAGTTATTAGAAACGATTCAAATATACGCAACAGGTATTGTTATTTAAAAAGCGATAATATAATTTAAATAAAAAGAAAAAACTTCACGGAAGTTCAATATATAAAAATATTTCAGGCAAAAAGATTATTTTTTCATAAAATTATAATAATTTTGAAAAAGGCAAAAAAAGGAGGTAAAAGAAATACGGATTTATGAGATAGCCAAATTAAATAAGGACGATCTTAGTCATTTATTACATAAATAATAGTACAAAGTAAAAATAACTTACCTTAATTTGGCGATGAAACAAAACGAAATAAACTAAATAAACCGAACAGATAAACGCCGAACTTTAAATCAAAAAAATTTAACAAATTTCAGACTCGCAGTTGCCAGCAATAGCAAAGGGAGAGGCTTATTCGCAAAGACAAAGGAATTTTGTGATTTATACTTTATGTACCAATCAATCCGGAATGCTAACTTGTTGAGGCACAGATGATATTAAATACGTGATGCACAAGTTATATCAATCACCATACATTGTGTAATTTGAACAGGTATTAAGCTAGATTTTCGATAAGCTGAGGAGAACGTGGGTAAGTCTGACTTGATAACTGCCTTATATTATATTTTTTATTTTATTTTATTTATATTTTATACGTATATGTCGTCATATCGATATACATATAAGTTTTCTTATTACTGTATTAACCTTAATTTTATTTCTTATAGTATATAAATACATATAAATATATATTTATATATATATATAACTATTTATGACAAATAAAAAATTGTGAACTCCGATGCACACGATGTACAAATGCACTGATAAATTAACTGCGGAGTTCGGAGTCATGGAATCATTGATAGTATTTATAGAAATTTCTACACTCGAAACGTTCTACGAGCTCCGTGCTAATGGTGGACGAGCCACATTGTTTATCATCTTTTTTTAATGTGACAACATTGAGCTGCGGTGAATAAGGATTCTTGGATGTTAAAAAAACTTAAAAAATTAACAAAATTTGAAAATTAAATGTATAGTCAAAATTATATTATGCTACATATATATAACTAGTGCTCGGCACAATCAAACAAAAATTTGACAAATACTTGTTAATACTTATGTTTAAATCGGATGTCAAACGATTGCAGATTAACCAAAGCTAAATATATACTATTGGTTAATCTGCAATCATTTGATGTCGACTTAATCACAAGTATTAACAAGTATTTGACTGTCAAATTTTTGTTTGATTGTGCCGAGCACTATACACTCTACCCTCGTTATAACGGACCCTTCGGGCTGAAAGATTTTGTCCGTTATATCCATAATAAATGAATATCCGTTATAATGTAATATAATATAATAATAATAATTTTAAATTGTTTAGAAAATTACTCCGTAATAATATGGTATCCGTTATATCGGGGTCCGTTATAACTATAGATGCTGGTGAAATTAATTTCCAATTCACCACCAATTTCACCAATAGTGGTGAAATTATTTCACCACATTTCACCATATTTCACCAGCATCTATAGTTATAACGAGGATAGAGTGTATATAACTTGTACAGTATATGTACATTTTACGATTTGTCACGCAATTTGTTTTATAATAGTCAACGTATGTATCTAAATTTATAAACTATCGCTATGTAGTTAATTGAAAATCATTCAGGTTTACCGACAACCCGAAAATTATTCCCCAGACATAATTTTTCCGACAACCATTTCACCGACAATCATTTCCCCGGCATGACCATTTCCCCAGCAGTCATGTTGGGAAATGGTCATGTCGGGGTTGACGGGAAAATGGTTATGTCGGGGAATGGTTGTCGGTAAACCAATCATGGATTAGAAAACGCACCTATGGTGGTTTTGCACCTATTACCGTAGTGCACTGACTGGGTATATTATACAGCAGCGGGCCAGTGTTGCAAGAAAAAAATTTTCAAGTATATACATATTCTGCACTTACAATAAGCAGTCTAAAAATTTTTAAAAAAAAACTATATTTAATTGCTAATAAGACTCACTTAACTTTTATAAGCCCAGGTGTGACCTGCCATAATAGCTATTTTTTTTCTTTTTGAAGCTTTCAACTTACTGAAAGAGCTTTTCAAGTGTTCTTAGAAGATAGCTATTAGCCATATCAAAATCAATTATATTTTTATATAGGATAGTTTTATAAAGATAACTATATTGGTTTAGCTATGTTTTTGATAAGATCCTTTAATATAAAGCTTACAAGTTTTTTTACTACTAGTTTTTCTTCTTTTCTCTCTGTTTTGGCTTTTTTAAATATATTTAAACTTGCTTGGTTTCCTTTGTCTGCTTCTAAGTTATTTTTTTTGCTTTTTAGAAATCTTTTTTTTTCTTTTTTTATATTTTTTTATTTTGTGTTTTTTCTTCTTGTTTATTATTAGTTTGTTTTTTTTCTATTTGTTAAAGATTTTATATCAAAAGTACTATATTTATTTAAAGAAAGCTTTCCAGAAAGTCTTAACTAGTAATATTTTTATATATCTATAAGTTTTTTGATCTGTATATAGCTTTTCTTGTATTCTTTTTATTAATTTTTGTATTTATAAATTCTCTTATTAATTAGGCTTAGTTTTTAAATTTTGTTAAAGTTTTATTTAAAAATTATATTATATTACAATTGTTTTGATTTTGTATTCAAATTTTTGTATTTGTTTAATTTGCTAATAATTTTATTTACTATTTTTTTTCTGTTTTTAATTATATATTTTTACAATTTCATACTTTGCCAAGTAATCTTATATTTCTAGCTCTTTCA